TCCATTATTTGTGGGATTTACATAAACAGGGTCCCAGAGGGAAGGGATCTGAAAACTCATCCTCATCACTGTGTTGAGTGGGTTTAGGAGCTGGTGTACAAACTGAATCTGATGTTAGCATGACACACTGGTTTCCTGTTCTGCTTTTCAGGCACAGTGAGGTGTGTTGAGTCAACAGGTAACATGAACAGTACCACTGCAAGTTCAAGCAGTACCTTGTTCACTCAATAAAATCTGCTTGGACTTCAAATAGCTGAAATCTGCTTTGGAAGCACAGCTTCTCTTGAGCACAGACCTTTTTCCTTCTCTTGAGACATTTAGGTTTTTGATTTAGACACCCTGACAAATATTTAAATGGTTCTAAAGAAAAGCAAGCTTTTCACCACAAACACCAAGAGGTGTTTGTCTTCCATTTCTCTATTTGGGTACTTTGGGGCCTCATTCACTGCCATCCGTGGGCAGCATCACCTACTCCTCTGCCCAGGCTGTCCCCAGGTAGCACCAGCAAGGCCAGACACTGAAAACAGCACTATATTTGACAATTTCTCTGTTGTTTTGGGGCACATGTGCCCAGATGCATCTGGTCACCATGTGTGCCTGACATTTAAGCTTATCCCTGTAGACTGTGTTGGAGGAGAGAGGTCCCTTTGCAAAATACGTGCTTAAAGCACAGACTGGCCTCTCCTCCCTCCCCAGCCATAAGATCCCTCAAGGATATACTAGGAAAGAAAGTGTTAGAAAGGACCTGTGAGAATGTCCCTTGTAAGCACCTGAACTACTTATGACCTGTGGCTTGGTCAGAGAGGGCATGTGCATTAAAACGTCTGAAAAACTCACATTTCCATGGAAAGATTTGTGCAATGAGGCTGTTCCTCTCTTCTGATGGGCTATGTGGAAAGAGATTAAAATGCAATTTCTGTAACTAATATGAATAATAGAATAAGTTGCTCTAAGCCAAAAAATACAGTGGATTTTTTGTTTAACTTAAAATTGTGATGGTCCATTTAAATTAATATTGTCTGAATGTTGTGAACTTTAAAGACCCACTTTAAAGACCCACAGATATAAGCAATAAGTCTTCTCAGACCCGTATGCATGCCTTTTCCAAACTTTGCTGTACTCCTGACTTGTTTGTTCTGTGCCCAGCTCAGCTTTGCACTGTTGCTAAGTGCGGGTGAACTTGCTTGGGCTGCTGCCTCCAGCCAACACCAAGGAGTGTGCAGTCAGCTGTGCCCCAGGAGGAGTACCATCAGGAGCTGAGTGACTGGTTTGTAGCTCCGCAGCCATCCCATCAGAGAGTTGAAAGAAAAAATTAAAAACAACCGGGACTCATTTCACTTGAGTTTTTTTTAACTAGATGCTTTTTATAGCATCATGTGAGAAAATCTTGCAGGCTCATTTTAGGGCTGGAGACGGTGTCACTGATTTAATTATAATCTTAAGGTTTGGCTATGCCCTGGCTAATCATAGCACCTTGCCACTTCACTGGACATAAAGTCATATTCACACTGCAAGATCTGTGGGATTTAGTAGGATTAAATCCCTGTTATGCATGAGAGCTCTTTTGGCAGATGCAGTTTCTCTAGTCTTGAGATGAAATGACTGCAAGACTTGGAGCTGCCATGAAGCTGTGGTTATGAGGGATGCCTCCACCCCTCTCAAAACCACCCTGAGATTAGCTCAGTTGGTTAAAGCATGGTGCTAATAAAGCCAAGGTTGTGGATTTGATCCCTGTATGGGCTATTCACTTAAGAGTTGGACTTGATGATCCTTGTGGGTACCTTACAACTCAGATTATCCTGTGAACACATCCACCACCTCTCCCTGCCTCAATGCAGTGCTATGGGCAGTGCAGGCACCAGAAGAATCCTGACATAATTTCAGGCAGCTCCCACTCTGCTGCTGCCAGATCCCCCTTTAGTATCTGCAAGCAGGAATGTTTTTCTGTAGTAGGTAATCTCAATAGAACAGGTGATGTAGAGAAGTGAAAGGAAGGGGAAGGTAACAAATCTGTCCAGCAGAAACAAAGCTGCCATTTCTGAATTAATAGCAGTAGGTCTGGCCAAATCTTTGAGCCTGGCGTTTGCAGTTTGAATCTTAAAGGTAGCAAGTCATCTGGAACAACTCCGATTTTTTTTATCATTTTTTCCCTTAATATTCCTTGAAATGCAGCTGAAGCTGGAAGAACAACAGCTGGAGCACGCATTCACACCACATGGGAAAAGAGTGCTGAGTCCTGGCAGCCAGTGCTACCTCCTGGTCAGAAAGACCCTGTGAGCTGCACCCAATGTGTGTGGTGGTGCTGTCCCTGCTACCACCCTTCTACCTCTGCTTTGCAGGTTGTAACCGAGTCAGGCTGCTAATTTATGCATAGCACAAACAAAAAAAGGAAAAAATTCTCTCCAGCTCTGAAACAGTCAAGTGAAGAGGCACAGACAGAGCCAAGGGGATTATAACCTAAACTGCAAATTGCCAAAAAAAAAACCAAGCATGTGCCTCACTAATGGCAGCAGTACAAAAAAAAGGCAGTTTGCCCTTAGGGTGTCTGCCTCTTCTTTCTTTCTGTACCTTATGTATTTGTTCTTTGAACTGTTGTGCACACATGGACATAGCAGGATGCCAATATTAGATATCCAAATTATCAAGCACTATTAGAAGAACTTTGTAAAGCTGTAATTTTGTCAGTTGCTTAAATTGGGGTTTCTTGGGTAGTGCTATAGTAATTTAACACATTTGCTCATTTTGATCACCTTACAGCTGCTGCTCACAAATGTAATGTTTGGCATCTCACTCTGGCTAACTACAAACTCTTCATATATTGTTGAAAAGGCAGTTTCTGTCTGACCTATTACAGTGGATTGGTAGTTTGACTTTTTTTGTTATTTTTCTTTGACTAATTTTCATCTCTGGTATATAGTTTTGGGGTTTTTTAATGTGTATGTCCTGTCCAGTGAGAGAATATGATAAATTCTGTAGCTTATTTTCTAATAGCAAAATTGCTTCCAACTTTCTACTGGACTTTTTCTGGAGAATTAATGTTTTCCTTTAGCATTGTCAGATATCATGGACTTTGACTTAAAACTTCTCTGACATCAAGGACTGCCTCTACACAGGAACCTTTGTGCTCACACTGGCAAAGCGGAGGAAATTTTGCATGTAGAAAGTTGATGCTGTTTTAGAAACAGAGTTGTGTTATAGTGTTCACCTTCTGACACTACTCTTCTCATGATTGATGTTACTTACAAAAATCAGTGTTGAAACTGTGAAAACAAAACAGCAGCATTTAGTGTCTTTGGAACACTATAAAAAAATTTACTTCATATAAAAAATACACTTGCTATTTTTAAGGAAGTGCTTTCTAATAAATTTACAGGAGCAGAAAAAGTTCAGCCAAAATATCTGAGGAATTTTAATTAAGAAATTTCTGTGGTTTTTAGTTAGTGTGTGACCAGTTACCTGAGTCAATCTTTGCAAAAGAAAGAGCAAAAAGATAGCAATGTGATATCCGTGTTTGTACACAACTTCTGGGGCATCCCTGGAAATACAGAGAAGATACACATTTAACCTCAGCCTAATATTAATCTCCTTATTTCATCACTTTTAAAAAAAATATCAAAAATGTTTCCTTCATCAACACCTCCCCCCAGGTTTTCATCACCCAAGTGTTTTCTTCTGTGCCTTGCGCTGCCTGTTTTCTATCCGTTTTTGATCTGAAGAGGGTGCTTTTGGGACAGCACCAACTGTGGTCAGAGGCTGAGCACCTTTCCTGCCCACAGCTCCCCTTGCTGGCCCCAGTAAATGGAAAAGCCCCACTTTTCCCACCAGCAGCTGATATTTGCCACACAAGGGCCCCACGCCCCAGGCTCCTTACAGGCCCTTGGCTGGTCAGAGAGGTGCCAGGGGTCCCCTGGGAGACACAAACCTGAGAGCTGGGGACCATCACTTTGGAGCCCACCAGCCATAGGTGCTACACATCCATGCTAAGCAAGCTCCTCCTTCAGCAAGCCTGAGCTCTTTTACTTTCATCATCCCAGAGAAGGGTATCAGGACAGGGAACAAACCACCTTGTTCAGGCTGTTTCTCATTACTGCCCTGGGTGTAGTGGGGATGGCCTGGCCCTGCTCCTCCTTCCCCAGTGGTGTTTCTCCTGACAACGGACCTGGAAGGCTGCAGACATGGGTGGTGATGGGGGTCTGTCTCCTGTCAGATCGGGATTGCTGGGCAGTATCCACAGTCCCACTGCACAAAGGACAACAAAAGAATGGGCTGTCCTCCCCTCTCTGGGCTAAGCAAGTCTTAGCTTAAGGGTCCATTGACTAAAGAGACCAGGAAGGTCAGTTTAATACACTGGACTTCTTCCTTGTAACTCAAAACTTCTCACTCATTAATTTTATGCTTACAATTATGTGTTATTTATTTATTTATTTATGATAAGGTTGCCAGAACTGTAGTATAGCAAGGGTCTGAAATAATCTGTTGTATATTTATTGCTCTTCAGTGCAAACAGAAAGCATTTTTCTTGCTTCCAAGCCAGGTCACATTACAAACTGTGTGGCCCTCGACTGTCGCAACATGCAGCACCCAAAACCTTCTACAGTCCGACCACAACACAACGTGGGAGCATCACCCTTAAACAGGAAACACAGCCAGGGCTGGACTATTGCCTGCTTAGACAGAGGCTCTAAGAAGAATATCTTGAGTACCTGAGGCATCATGAACAGGGCACACCAGCTTGGCATGGCTGACTGGCAGAGCCAGGATAAAAGGAGGATGTGGTGGATGGCAAGGACAGGGAGAGAAACACCCGGCCTTCAGTGCTATCCCCTCCTTGGCAAAGGCACAAGAAGAAGTTGTTCTTCTGAAATATTTTTAAGAGCTGTGGTGGTAAAAGCAGAGACAGGGAAACCAATCCCACTGTGCCACTGTTTGATGAGCGTGCTCTAGAAAAGCCATCGTCCCAACCCAGTGCTGATGAGACTGGAATAGGCCACAGAGAGCAGTACTCGAAAAACTAAAGCAGCATCTTTATTTTATATATAACTGCCAGTATAAAAAGTTTATTACATAAAAGCTGTTTTCTTTACAATATATTATATTGCTTCAAGCTGATGCAGAAAGTTCATATACATTACAGTTCTACTTTGTTTACAATATATTCTGTGGGTTAAATGGCACCACTACAGTGTATTTTTAATACACAGTATTTCACAAAACTGTAAGGCCAAAAATAACATTGAATTGAGTTATTCAGTTTTTAAATTACGCAACTTATCTATTTGTTTGTTTTTCTTAGGGAAAAGTCTAAATACACAATTTGTAAACATTTGTAACATGCACCTTTCTTTTCTTAAGCAAATTAAATCTGTAGCCATTGAAATTATTCAGGTTAGCATCTACAAAGTTTTCTGCTTGAATATTGTTACTTAAATTTTGGAGAATATTTGCAGCTATATAATCAAAAAAGGAAGTTTAAATGTAACTGTAGTACAAAACACCATCCAAAGCACTGAAAGAAGGAGCCTATATAATCATGCTACAGAAGTATTTATAAAACTTAAAAGGAATAGTAAGTGTCAGCTCAGTGGTTTATAATGAAGCTAATAAAATTCCAGCCAGTAATCTTAACTGTAATGAACAGCATTTTAACATTCAATCCATGAGAGGTTAACGAAGGCTATGCACTTTGTGTAACACAAACCATTTCAGGTGTTGGAGTTCACCAGATATAATTGGATTCGGGTGGAACATGCGTCTCCTCGGCCCTTTTCGGCGAAGGCATGTGCTGCCTGTGCTTGCTGCCTGCTGGCCTCAGGGCGCTCAAACCGCTGCCTCCGTACCCTGGAAAATTATCCAGTTCAAGAAAAAAGAATCCACAGAAGTGGGCTTGTGATCCACAGCTAATATTTCAAGTGGGAACAGTCTCCCACATTTGAACAAAGGGTTTTGCTATGCCTTACAGAAGCACTCACACCTCTGTTACCCCTTGGGATGAACGAGGTCCTGCCAGACAGAAAGATGCTCTCTACTGGCCAGGGAGCCCAGAAGACCATCAGCACACCCAGGCTGTCACTCAGCCCTGGGTTCACACGTGCATTGCCCGTGCAAGGTGGGTGACAGTCATGATGATCTGCCAGCAACAGGCTCTCTGGGGAAAATCTGCACCAGCTACCTGAGCTAGGCTTTGTTTTATGGCTGAATGCAAAGAGAAAGAACAGCAGTGATCATAAACACCTAGGAGGAAAAAAAGCACTCTGAAACAGGCTTAGAGCTGCTTTGTTTTGGAAAATGAAAGTGAACAATAAAAATGGAATCCAAAGTATTATGTCGTAATTCTTTATAGGTTCATTTATCCATCTCATTACTTAAAGCTCATGGAAATGACTTTGAAAAACTGAGTCCCCCGTTCAATTTTTTAACCACTCCTTTTTAAGATAACAGCTTTACAGAGGAGCCATTAATTTGATGGAATATGAAACAAGTCTCTCAAATTAACTATAAATCTCCTTTCAAGATTGGGAGATATTTGGTTTCAGTTCAAAGGAGTGAATTGCAGTGCATGCACAGGTATATGCAATTGAAGCCCTACACAGGCACTTAAATGGGGATGAATGTTACCTAAATGTCCTATTCACAGTTTCTTTGCTGAATACAAAGAGAGTTTTGGAGTACTAAACACAGCAGGACTGTACCCAAACTCCAAATAATGAAGGATGCAAAACCTTGGAGTTGACAATAATGTGTAACTATTTAGTTCTCATCACAAGGCAGGTATGAGCTTTGGTTTTGTTGTACAGGTGATTACTTCTTTGGGGATGGTCACTTAGAGAATGTGGGTTTTTTCACTTGCTATCTGAGTTCTTTATAAGAGGAGTAAGACAAGAAGAAAAAGTTCATACTGAACTTATGAATTGCAGTTCATATTGGTTCATTTCCATGTATCTTTTTTCTAGCCATAACCTACAGCATTTCTCCTTCAGAGAATAGCATGAATAATTAAAACACAAATCCACTAGCTAACAATAGAAAAGTGGACTCCCTAAACCTAATTTTCACAGCAAAATCCATTTTAGTTAGGTAATACTCAGTTTGAAATGAAAATACTATATTTATCACAATACATTTTGATATAATACAAATCACAGGCATCATCAGCTTTTAATAAAAGCAAACATTTGGTTGATGTTGCAATGTAATATTTTGCAAAATTTTTCAGATTTTTTATTATTGACACTTAAAACACTAAATGTGAATTGGCAGCTAACAGTGATAAACATTAATACCTCATGGGAGTATATGAAGGTTATATATTAAAGATCAGCTGTTGCAGCACTGTGGCACATGAAATATAAATTTAAATCTGAAGTTCTTACCGGATATATCCAATTGTATTTCAAATAATTTTATAGTACCATTTTAAACCCAGTAAAATGATCAGTTGCTATAAGAGGTGGTAAATGGACCAATAAATACAATAGAAATTCATTTTAAGGACTTTAACTTTGCTTGGGACAATATATTTTGTATGCTATGGATAAAATATTGGGACAATATTGGGACAATACATTTTGTATGCATGGGTGGGAAGAGGAGGAGAAAATTCCAAAGTTGCTAAGAACAGATCTTGCATAAGTCTTCAAGTCTTCCCCAAAGTTTCTAAAGGACATTTCACTTTTTTGAGTTTTAATAATTTTTAAAACCTGACAGAGTTTTATTTCTGAAAATGCCTTCCCAACATTTTAAAGCTAGCTGATCATTGAGGGGTGCTGAAGGACTTGTATCCCTTTGATACTATGAGTGAAAGACAGGCCAGGTCAACTAGAAATCTGATCGATACCAGATTCTGGAATTTCTAATACAAGGTTGATCTTGGCAAAATAGTTTCAAATGATTCTAAGTATTTTTTTAAGCAGTTAAAATGATGAAGTATTGAAAATCCTTGTTTTATTGTTCGGATTAAGGATTAGAAAAAAATGGAGTGTGGTATTATTAATAATGCTGGAAAGGCTCATCATTGGGTGCATAAGACCTCAGATATGACTCTCAGGTTTGTTTATCACTTACTTTTATTGCAATGTCTCCCATGCCAGCCTTCTTTGCACTGGCACTTGTTGGGCTCCACACAGGTGCCGTACAGGCCACAGCCAGGTTCACAGACAGCTGTAAAAAAGCAAGCACATATGCCTGACCTCTTGGCTTTTCATCCAGACTCAGTCACACATTTGCTTTCCCTGCTGTTCCACATGATGGGTTGGTTCTGGCACAGGCTGGGCCTCTCATAATACATCTGTGCCTTTCCACCAAGTGCGTGCAGAGCCCTGAAACAATCCTCACACTCCCCTTTACCTGCAAGGTCTGGCTCAGTCTCTGGCAGAAAGAATCAGATTGAACAACAGAGCTGTTCCAGAGCATGCACCAGAACCAGTGGGAAGAGGGCAGCCCACAGAACCCCTCACACAAAATGTTCCTGTTGGATTTTAATGTGGTGAAGTATTGACATTTTATCAAGCATTTCTCTATTACTAAACTACTATTGCTGAGCTGACATACTGATGGTTTTTAGAAACTCAGAGAACAGAAGAGACTGTGAGGAGACTTTAGTAAAAAAAAGTGTTTCTGGTTTCATAATTCCCTTAAGTCTGGTGTATGCTCTATGTCCAGAAAGTTAAATAACTTGAAATACTTTGACAACAAACAATTAGTGCTGATGTTATATAAACAGATACTGTATAGCCGGATCGATGCTCCCACAACAAAGACTGATGGAGTGGCTTTGGTACTTACGCTTTGAACACAGGTCTCCCTGGTAGCCTTTGGAGCACTTGCATTTGTTCCTACCAGTACATTTGCCTCCATTTTGACAGGGCTGATGGCATTTACCTAGAAATTGAAAACACAGAGACAATGGTCTTAGTCCTCTGTGCCTACTGTCTCCCATGGGCTCAGAGAAGAGACTAGAAAACTCTCCAGTCTAGTAAGGCCCTCTGATTACTATCCACTATTGGTTGTTTAAACTGGCAGTGACAAAATAACAAGAAGTCCGAGGGCAATCAAAAGAGATTTCAGGCCCTGGGATGATTAGTAGAGGGATCAGGAGCACAGTAGTGATTTCTTTGATCCTTCTGGTAATGAGGAATAATATTGATAAAAATAGGTAGATCTATAAGGTCAATGAGTTGCTCCGAGGTTGGCGTACTCTGAAAAATTTGGGGTTTTTTGACCATGGGATGATCTACTCAACACCTGTCTACTGACACCTGACAGGATGCACGTGTCTCAGAGGGGAAAAGGAGTTTTAGTGCCGGAGGTAGTGGGGCTCATTGACAGAGCTTCAAGCTAGCTTCGAAAGGGGAAAAGGACAAAACCAGGCTGGTGATGAGAGATGGGGTGGTGTGCCAAAACTTGAGGAAAGGAGCACTTGAGGATTCTTCCATGGGATCCCTCAATCTGCTTCACAAGGTGTTGGCTACAATGTACCACTCCTGAAACCTGTGCACACCAACGTACATAGCACGAGGAACAAACAAGAGGAGTTCGAAGCTTTGGCCCAGTCCCAGAGTTTGACCATTGGCATAAATGAAACCTGGTGGGATGAGACCTGTGACTGGAGTGCCCTGTTGGATGGTTACAGGCCCTTCAGGAGGGATAAGCGGGGCAGAAGAGGTGGAGGTGTGGCACCGTATGTAACAGAAGGGTTAGAATGTATGTAGATCACAGTTGGCAATGGCACTGTTGAGAGCCTCTGAGCAAGAATCAAGGGGCAAACAAATCATGTGGATGTCATTGTGGGAGTCTGCTATAGACCTCCCAGCTAGGATGCTGACACTGATGAATTATTCTTTGAGGAACTAAGGGACACTTCCAAGTCAACTGCCCTTGTCCTTACGGGGAACTTCAACTTGCCAGAAATTAACTGGGAGCATCACACAGCTGGTACAACCTGGGTCAGAAGATTCCTAAAAAATCTGAATGACAACTTTATGGAACAGAACCTAAGGGAGTCGACTTGAAAGAATGCCCTCCTCGATCTGCTGCTTGTTAACAGAGGGGATTTCCCGAGCAAAGTGGAGACTGGTGGCCCTCTTGGCCACAGCAAACACGAAGTGACCAAGTTTAAAATCTCAAGGCAGGGAGACAAGGCAGGGTCACAGAGCAGCAAGTCCGATAGAGTTCAAGAAGCATTTGGACAATACTCTCAGGCACATGGTGTGACTCTTAGGGATGGTCCTGTGTAGGGCTAAGAGCTGGACTCGATGATCCTTGTGGGTCCTTTCCAACTTGGCTGATTCGGTGGTTCTGTGATTCGGTGAAGTGTCTGAGAAGCTTGCCTTGTACCTGAAAAACTTATCAGATGCTGATGTAAGAGTAACCAGGAAGACTCTGCTGCAAGTCTGTGCTTCCAATTTATATGCATTCTTCTGCTTTGAAAATGTGACAATAATTTGGCATGGCCAAAGCCCATGTGACCTTGCAGCTTTTGCAGCTTTTTTGCAAGTTGTGTCACTCTGACTTCGCAGAATCCCCCATGTGACCAGTCAGTATTGCCTCCTGCTCTCCTCAACCTTCATGAGGGAGGCAGCACTGCCCAGACTATGCAGGTGCAAGGAGTGGCATCCAAACCTGGGGGCACAAGCAGAAAAAAATCTGGTGGCATCCAAGATACTCAAGGACTGACAGGTATGGCCGCTACTTGCAGACAATAAATTGGCCTGGCCTGTCAGCTTGTATCAGAGGCTGTGGAGTACCATGGTGCTGTGGATGGTGTGATGAGAGATGTTCCACATGGCAGCTCAGAAACTAAGGGTACATTAAAAAAGCATGCCCTTCTTTCCTATTTGATGAGAATAGAGCAACTTTGCTAACAGTAATTAGAACTGGCAGACGTTTTTCAAGGCTCCTGGTCCAGAAATTACTTTCCCTCACACAGAGGCTTTGCCAAAGGCAGAGGCAGGGTCTGGTGGTGCTGTTGTAGGAAGGCTTCTTTGGCCCTGATTGCCTGTGATGGAGGAGGCCCACGTTGGTGGAGGAGATCCACAGTCAAGTTCTTGCTGGGCATGGCTCACACCAAAGACCTTCCTCAAACTTAATAACAAATGTCCCATCACTAGACTGTCAATACCCTCTTCGAATTTGTCTGCATTACTTAATTAATTAAATCTTCTTTCTAGGAAGGGGAGCGCAGAGCCCATAGCTTAATCACTCCCAGGCTGAGGGAGGCTCACTGTCACCTCCCTCGGCACTCTCAGGCCACCAGGAACTGCACCATCAGTCCCTTGCCTCCTTGATACCCATATGTACTAGTGCAGCTTTTCTCATTATTGTCCAAAACCATTTTTCGTCTTTTCCAATGCCACTACATTTTCTAGATTCTTCAGAAAAGAGACAAAAAAACCCCTCTTCCTATATTTAGCACTAATATTACCTGGATCTGTGAGGAAACAAAAAGTGGAACCTGGAGTGGCAAACTGCTTCCTTTAATTTAATTTCCTTTTGCGTTTTTTTTTCAAGAGATCTGCACGTGATAATTTCAGCATCAACACTAGCTGGCTGTGCTGAAAATCTCATTCATGATCACAGACTGCCCCCTTGGGAGCTCAACACCCCAGGCAGTGCTTGATCTGCCCTCAACCTCTGCAGACCTCTGTAATGCACATATGTACTGTCGATATAAAGGAAATACTTGTTCCTAATGTACATAATTATTCTAATAGCCCCGAAAAACACTTAATAAACTGCTGATGGAACTAACTGTGCTAAGGAGAGTTTCTGCAAAAACATCATTTCCCTGCAGAAGCCTCTGGAGAGGGAACCTATAGGTCTTCTAATTTTCAAACATTTGCATTCCAAGTAATTAATGATCAAAAGGAGCAAAGCTAAGGAAATCCATGAATTTTCCTAGCTCTTGAAATAAGTCTGGAAAATACGGGTCACGAGATGTGACAGCAACTTCCACTGAGTTGCATTAGGCAAGCATTTGGTACTCAGTACATTGTACTCAGTACAGCTCAGTTAACTTCGGACTAAGATATTGTCACAGAATGAAGGAAAGAGTAATAATTCTCTCCGTTATTGACTGAGAAATGGAAAAAGCAACAAAACAGCTAGTGACAAATAGGGGAGGAATCTAAAACAAAATAAAACTCTCTGGAATCAAAGTGAAACACTAATTAGAGACAATGCATACCTATCACTAGAAAAAATCTGGAAGACTGCGCATGCTTGTTGGTATTGTAGACATCCAGTACATTTCCCAGGAGTCTTACAGAGGGGTTCAACTATTAGACAAACACTCAAAACCTTTACACAATATTAAAAAAAAAAAACAACAAAACCTTTCAGTTTTCAGAAGATGGCCTTCTGCATGTCCAAAGGTTTTCTCCCCTTGTTATTTTAAGACCTCCATGACTGAATGTAGCTGGCCCTGGATCTAAGAGACAAGACTGAGTTGTGTTTCTCTTCTGGTGTTTCAAAGCCCTGTCTAGCATTCCTTGCAGCCTTACGCTGTTGTGCTGGCACTGGTGCAGTGCCCAGGGGTGGTAGCAGTTGTCAATCTCGGCTTAACAATTGCCATCCCAGCTTTTCAAGAGCCCAGGCAAGTGCATAGCTTTCCTTGCTCTCACTGATTTAACTCTTAGCATACTGTCATCCTGATTTTTTTTTCTTTCTTTTGTACAGGAACAAGTTTATTGCCTGTATTTTAATTAATTTGAGTTTCACAGGTAAGCCTTTGCAAGAAGTCAAAGCAGTTGCACCTATCCCAAGCAGTAGTCGACAACAATGAGCTTCAGCTCCTCAGACAGGCCAATTAAATGTATTGCCCTTAATTATACATGCTGTAATATCAGTTCTAAGAATTCTCTTCAAAAAAACACCATCAGCATAAAAGAAGTTTCTCTCTTTGAATCAAACGTTAATCTTCATCTGAAAAATGTCAACAAAGTTGACTTTTTGGGGACAGAAGAAAGCAATGGGGTTCTGTTAGAGTGTCAAATTTGAACTTGATGTAAGCAAACCACTGTAAATCCAGTGGAAACCCACACTGTTGTTCTTGTGGTATGTGATCCAAATTTATGCCAAACTTAAAAACAGTAAAGCTTTGCTGCTTCTGTTTGGCTCAAGTTATGATAAGGTAAAAAGGCGTTACAGAATGCCTTGTAATGCACAGAGATATGGTGAAACACATACACCTACTGTTTATCTGCACATAAATACTAAACAAAGCTTAGGTCTTACAGTATCTGTGTTCTTTCTTTGCACAGTAATTCACTTATTGTCCTGTACTGGCTGACAGTAAGTTAGAGTTTATTTCCAAGTGTTTCCAAAGTGATACAAATTGCCTACTTGTGAGAAGAGCTTGTCTCGATGCATATTAAGAAATCAGCATTTACATATCCCAGACCAAATGCTAGTCTCTACGCTCCTGTGAAGGTGCTGGGGAACATCAGTGAGGTTATTTTACAGCAGGGGAATTGTCTTGCACAGTGTCCTGTTAAAAGCTCTAGAGTCCAGAAAGAATGAGATCCAATTGTACGTTCCCAAGTTGCCTTGTCAATGCAACTTAATATGTCACATGAAAGCTCTCAGCTCTTGTGGTTCAATCCTCCTTTTACCCCAAACCCTTTCATTCCCAACTTATAGTAGCCCTTTCAGAGTTGTGGGCTCAAATCTAATCTGCTGTGCCCAAGAGTGATTTGCCATAATGTTTGAAAATAGATGCCTCATGTGGGTTTGCAGCAGCACATCTGTCTGTCACAGGGTATTGCTTGCACACTTACCGCTTCAGGATTGTTACCAGGCCTGGTTACTAGTGAAAACAAAACGAGGCAGGGGATGAGATGGTCTAGTAATGAATCAAACTTATAAGTAGGAAACTCACTAGGAGGCATGTGATACCTGACTCTGCAGGTCCCAAACTACCATGTGAGACCCTTGCTGTGAGCCCAGAAGAGGCAGGTTGTATGTCATCATTCAGATATTGACACTAGAAGAGGGTGACGTAAGTGAAAGCAAGGACACAGAGATGCTACTCACTAATTTCACAGTGGTCTCCTTCATAACCTGAAGGACAAATGCATTTTCCCAAATAGAAACATGTCCCTCCATTGAAACAGGTTGTTGTACAGTTTGCTGAAACAAATAAAAAAGGAATTAACTAAGTCATTAATATGAATTAAGCCTGACTTGGACTTAATGTTTTCTGCTGCTCATCATAAATAAACATTGAGTAGGTTTTAAAAAGTAGGATTAACCTCTTTTCATCTGGTTTATATAGGAAGATTGAAATGTGGTTATTCCTACATAATGCTTTACATGGGCACACACACAAGTCAATACAGCGAGAAACACATGAATAATACAGCAATGAGCTCTCTGAGGACAGACTGTGTGACATCTTTATCAATCCTCACATAAAAAGCTCCTTGAACGATTAAGGTCCTATTGCTATTAAAACTGCCAGTGGTTGATGAAAGGAGCACAACCTAGGACTGGAAGCTACTTCTACAAGAGGATACTTCGCTACGGTTCTTAATTTATGCTTTGACTAGAAAGAAACCTTTGCAAGTTTTCCTGTGTGGTGACGTAGATGCAAATGCTCCGTCTCTCACCTGCCAAATTACTTACATTGTGTTAGATATAACTTTTCACCAAACAGTTTGAATTCACATTAATCCTTCATAACATTGGGAACATTTAATTGCAGTGCACTTTTGAAACGTTTTTTAAATGTGGCAAAAGTCTGTTCAAAGACTAAATACAAGTGAGGCAGACACTGACAACAACAGCTTGTGCAGCATAATGGGAAGGTTTCTATTATTTTGCCGAAAAGTCCTCTAGGACCTTTTCACTCAGTCTTTACTTCATATAGTTCTGCAACAATAAATGCAGAATGATGTTCTGCTCTGCCATGCACAGGTCAGTTATATTTCTGCAGGACTTGGGTTTTTTTCACATGGTAGCTTGGACTATTCCAAATTACTGTTCTGAACAACTGACAGTTCATTTTTATCCTTCATAAGTCACAATGCAGCAACAAAAAATGAATAGCCTGCTTATTTTTTCATGAGTCCAGATGCAGCACATTAATGTACTAAATAATTAGTAAAACTAATTTTACTACAGGTAACTAGAGTTCAAACAGAGATTTTTCCCCACCCCCCATGACATATGTGACTTTTGTGATAGGTCCCACAGCTTTTCAGTGAATCAACTGAAGCAGTTATCTAAATTACCTTTTAAATGCCTTGAAATCCCTGTATTTTTTCAGCAGTTGCCAGGCTGTGCTAGAGCATGTATTTGAAGAATCACTGAATTTTTAAAACTTATTTACTTATTGCTTACCTGACTTTTCATAATCCACTCCTAGAGGGGAACTACCACAGGTGAATAAAGAGAGGTTGCTGGATGCAGAGCCTGGGGGGTTTTAGCTGGCACTTACCTTTATCACAGTTGATGCCGTAGAATCCTGGGGGGCAGATGCAGAGGCCGGGGGTGATGCAGAGCCCACCATTCATGCAGCGAGGAACACACAGTGCTGAGGAGCAGGAGGAACAGAAACAACATTGTTGGTGTGATAGCAACTGGCTATTTAAATACACAGCACATCAGCTCCTTAAGCTACTCTTGCTTCTGCTGATTGTTCCAAGTCATCTTTGCAAAGTGCCTCTGTTAGTGGGTTAAATCTATCACATCTCTGTTTTGTATCTGGCAATTTGAGTACAGTGTTACTAAAAACTGAAGGCTAAATTAAGGTCAAATCTGATTCTATATGTAAGCAGAAACTGCTTCTTGTACCGTTTAATACCAGACAGAGGAGCACAAAGTACCCACATACACCTACACCCTCTGGATATTTAAAATACCCCCAGACAAGTCCTCTCTGTAACTGGATTCTGGTGCTTCAGCTGAGAAGGCAGGACAATCTCAGAGGGGTCAGTAACAATGTGGGGTTCCCAGGTAGGCTTTACAGTGAACCTTCCCTTTTCCCTCTGCATACCTGAGCATAAACACGGCTACCTAATTTAGGCTAGGGAAGCCTGTTGCATGGCCAAACTCTCCTGTATGTTCCCTCTAGAGCCTCACTGGAGGCTCCCCCTAGAGCTTCTCTGGAGCACCTGTTCTCTCCTAAGACCTCTCTGCCTTGTGGCCAGCCCACAAGGCTCTTCAGGGAGGCATGGCAGGGGGCAATGCTTCGTTTTGTGATTGCCCACAATTGGAACATGCAGTAAGGTTGGGTCCATACTAGTGAGTTAGACAGCATCCAGGCATGAGGCCAAATGGGGGCAAAGGATCATCCATCTTGTGAAATTGTTGGTGCCTCTCTTGGCTTGTTTTTGTCCCTGGTTGACCAGCAAGCCCTCCTGAGCATGGTCCTGGGATGAGCAGTGGCCATAGACTCCTCCCAAGAGGGAGTCTGTAGTGGGTTCATTGGAGGGTAAGAGTTTGTTAAACATCTGAATGTAAGTTGTGCCAATTGGCCCCCAGGCCAGAGAACAGTCTCTGATCATTTGTAATTAATATTTCTGATATAGCCAGAGCATCTGGAAGTGAAGGATTGCATTGGAGTAGGATGTCCATGGGGATAGTTTGCTCCATTTCGTCACCCCAGAGAGGGACTGCCACTGGGTGATGAGGAAGGGAGGGATAGCAAGAAGATCTAGTTTCCTTCCCAAGTCACACCAATTCCCTGGTCCTCCACTCCTGGAAATATCATTTGGGGCTATTATCCACTAATGAAGGGGAAAGAGAAAGTCTTTCCTTCATTTTCCCGTATTTGCTTTCGACCTGCCTACAAATCAGATCTTATCTCCAAATAAACAAATACAGAGCAACTAAAATCCCGCGATTCATTTTCCAGCTAGTCCTCACTACCAGAAAATTTTATTTAATCTTTTTGCCAGATGGATTTCCTGTGATTAAGGATCACTTAATTATTGTGTCAGGTTTTGTTAAAAGCAATGTGTTAAAGAGAAAACATTTTTCTTGTAAGTAATTCATATTTTCATTAGATGACAGATGACAATAGTAATTCTCTTACAGGTGTGGACTCAAAATATACAAAATCTTCAGAATAGGCCATTCTTAATTTTAGGAGAGATGCAGGAGATACAGTTTTGTTGAGGTTATAGTAAAGAAGACAGTTGAGTTTTTTTTTTTTTAATTACCTTTCTCACAATGAGGCCCGTAAAATCCATCTGGACATTCACAGACATGTCTTTCGTTGCAAAACCCTCCATTTCTACATCCTCCTGGACACTCCGCTTCATAAAATATAACAACAATCTTAATTAAATGCTGTCAGCCAGCTCTCGGTAGGATCAATATACTTCTTTGACACAACAGTAAAAATATTTGCTGACAGACAAATGATGAAGAAATAGAAATTCAGCTATGACTTCTTCAAGAGAAATTAGTTTCTTTTTTAGTAGTCTACAAATAGAGGTTTCATCACGTGTTCAAACGCACAATGTGCTTGTTGACAGACTGTGCATTTTCCCCGCTTTACTATTCCATGAGTGCATGAACAATGTGGATGCTCTGCTCAATCCACTTTCTTTTCTGTGTGGAAATGAGCAGGCAACTCAGGGCAGTACTTGCATGGCTGGTTAGACCTTCCCTCAGTGTGCAGGACCAGTTTCAATTTCTGCAGCCTAAAGTAGACTGCAGTGCAACTTGCATTGCATTAATTACCTCATCTGTTACTACTGGGGTGACAAAGTGATGAAATTGGTATTCATATGAAAGAGTCAGCTGCAAGGCTAAATGAAAGAAGGCCAGAAAGGAAGATGAAAGCATTCCTGCACAATGGTCCTATATCATAATCCAACTCTCATTCATATCTCAATTACTGATCAAATACTGGTAAAAGCATTTGGCAACACTGGCAGGATTATACAAAGATGACAAATACCTCTGGGTTCCACCACTATCCTCAAAACACCAGAGTCCATTGAACAAGACGCAAACTAAATCAAACCCTATGGAACTCTATGAAACCACGGCTGCCGGGTAGAAAAAGCAATTACTCAAAAATACCTTCCCAGACACCTCATAGAGAACAAGGCAGGCAGGAGAGGCTGCCTATTCACACTAGAAAAACTTAACATTACTAGTGATCAGTGGTAGGCATGATCTTCTCATCTCTATACTCTGCCATGTGACACTCCAAATGACAAGGTTCAAAAACTCTGAGGTAAAACAAAATGCCTTACAAGTAAAGTTGTTTACAGCAGTAGTAATAGTAGGAAAGGCTTTTCAGTCCAGCTGTGTTCCAACACCGTACTCTATGACTCTTTCTGGAAATGCTTCTCTTTTTTTAACTGAATGGAGAGCTGCTATTCATGACAAAGAATGCAAGCTTAAATACATACCATTTCAAGTAGAAAAACAGGAAAACATAACTTTTTGTGTGGCCACCTCTTAGCCACAACAAATCCTCTCTTATTCCACAAAATTGCTCCCTTGCTCCCCTCACTTCCTCTGGTGCAGGCCTTTCTGTATGGTCAAGAATAACTGGAAGCAGAGACCATGGCCCTGGCAGGAGAAATTGGAGCTCCTCACCACATGATGTCTTTCAGAGGAAGAAAATTGACCTCCACTCTAACATCAACCCATAAGGACATTCTTATCCTTGCCAGCATCTGTCCCAAAACACTGCAATGTTCACCTTACCAGACACAGGGAAGGAATGGGAGTTATCTCAATATGGACTGGAAAAGATGAGGTGAGAAAGCTCTTCCTCTGCACACCTCTAGAGTTTGGAAAATCATCCTTGTGTCTCTCAGCTAGCTCCAGGAACAAAAGAGTGGGACAATAATCAACCCCAGGTTTCTTAAGAGGCCACAGGATGTAATACTGCTTAATTTTTAAATATTACAACTCATGTAAAAACAGTAACAACAACTAATAACACAGAAATGATAACTTGGACAAATGCTACAACTAAACTGATTTTGGAGCCCTTTCTGTTTAAGCCACTGTTTTCCACAATACAAACCTGTAACTCTGTTGTTCCTATTATAATACCTCCAATGCTATTTCCAAAGTTTATTAAAAGATACTCAACTGAAAATAAAAAGAATAAAAAGTTTTGTGTAGTATTTACCACAGACACACAACTTCATACATTAGATCTGATTGATTGATTTTGCTTCCTTTAAGCCTCCCTTTTCCTTTCTTTTTCTCTGCTCACTTCTCCTCCTCCTCCACTCTCCATGGGCTAATGGGCAGCTGTAAGGCTTCAAAGGAGACAAGCAGCTTTGCTTTTTAGGTGTAGTGAGGTTTCAAAGAATAAAAAGCTCCTGTTCCCGCTGCTCGCTCTTTGAAGCCACGCTACAGCCAATTAGAGAAAAGAGTGAGGAGAAGAAATTGTGAGACTGTGAATGAAGACTTAATCAGAGAAGAATAACAATCTTGTTCTATGTATATCAGCCCTGTCATGGGTTAATTTGACGCAATTGCACATGATATGGGATAACTGTCTTATCTTAGACACTGATTTTTCAATTTCCACAGCCTCATTTTAAAGTGATAATTATAGTCTTATTACATAGTGTTTATGGTTCATAGATGGGTTGATTAAACAAGTGCTCTCCTTTCCAAGCAAACACTGCAATAACTTCATGACATTCTTCTTCCAGCGCGTCCTCTCTGTGCTTACTGCTTGATAACTGCAAGTATTGAACACCAACTTCCACCACCTTACCTGTATCCAAAGCCAAGAGGTTGCATCTGAGCTACAGAGAAGGTAAAGCCAACTTTTGCAGAAATTTTTTGATTTAGTATTTTTGTGTTCAGTTTGGATGTGCAAGCTGAGATTTAAGGGCACCAAGTTGGAACTAAGGCACTGACAGCATTAACGGATACTAGTGTCCCCACTACAGCTCCCAGAAGTTCAGTTCTCCAAATTATGTGCCATTTCTGGAAATGTTAACCTCAGCCTGCTTTCATAGGACCAGCTCTCCTCCAAGCACCTCAAATCATTTGCTAACAGGGGCTTTTCATATGATACATCTCTATCAATGTCCTTGATGTGATGAAGGTGAATAGGAAGAGGGAGCAATGTCTTCAACCTAGTGTAAGTCTGCTAAAGGAGTTCAGTAAGAAGAGGGTTAGTAAACATGTACTAAATAAACAGCAAATGCACACAGAAACAGAATGGCCTGGAATTCACCACAATTCCTACACTTTTTGTGAATGCTTTATTTCCATCCTCTCTAGCTCTTATCCTGAATGAAACATAAGACCTGGTCTTACAGGTCTTACAGTTAGGCGACCTGGTCTAACAGCATGTTCTCTTTAGTGTTACCTTGCTGACAGGTTTTAAAGAAGATGGCATTCTGAGGGGTCTGGAGAATAATATTGCCTTCTGAATTCATTACGATCACGTTCACTTCAAACGCAGCAACCCCATCTTGTTTTCCAAGGCAAGGAAATCCAACCTGAACCACTAAAAGGGTAATAATAATAATAATAATAATAACAACAACAACAACAACATACACACACACACACATATAAAAGCATACACTGAAATACTAAAAAAAATAGATTATAATTGTATTTAAGCTTCAGAGGAATGCCATTGACGAAAACTTGTAATACAGAGACACACAGATCACCTTCTTCATCGGTGGCTCCAGAATTAGAAGTACAGCAGCACAGGAAAAGAGCCTGTGCTCATTTACTGATATAACCCAACAGTTCACAGCACAGACAGAGATCATAACACAAACATACTTTTGCTTGCAGATGAGGCATTTACTTATGTAGAGCTATCTACGAATACACCAAAACAAGCCGGAAGCCTACATTTGATTTTCTAAGTTGAGCTGATCACTTCTGAGTCTAAATTTTTCAGGCTCTCATACAACTTCTGCAAAAACATCCTATATATTTTGGGAAAAAAGTGACTTTGGATAAGTTTTTCTGGTTTGGAAATTGTGATAATACTTAAATAAGGTAGTACCATTAAGTGCAGGAAAAATGGTATTCTTGATAAAATAAGATCATGGGTGCAATATTTAAAAAGAAGGCATAGACACATCAGTCTGACAGAACTAGTTAAGTGTAGCGATATTTGGACATTGCCTTTCCAGGAAAAGCAATCAAACACTTTTGAAATACAAAGAGTCTAGGTAAATAATTAAGGCCAGTGAATCCGGAGTATTTTGATGACAAAGCAAGCCTGATACCTCACAGCTATGGAATTCTCTGCTGTGATTGTCACAAGCGATCTTAAGTAATCTTCAATTTTACCTCTTTTCTTCAAAATTGGCTCTTCCTAGCAGTTTTACAAGTTAGATCCAGCTAATAGAAATTGTTTATTCATTGTTTCTGAAACTGGCCTGAGCTTTCAGAACCAAATACTGACCTAACAGCCCTACATTTGGTTTGTTTTAAATTGCTTATTATGAGAAAATTTGCAAGCCATAATTGGGCAATTTTTGTTATTTGTTGCCTTGGTATAATACAGGATAATTTATTGCTGAAATACATTCTGTCTTTGGTAAGTCCTACAAACTGAAAAGTCCCTTGCAGTTTTCATTCTAATGCAATTACATTGTCGAATGGCTTTTACACTAACCTTTTCAAAGACCATTACAGAAAGCGTGTAACCATTTGGTAAGAAGGAAACTCCTATAGTGGATTAAATATATTTTAAATGCAGCAAACTTCTTAAACTGTAGTAACTTTCTTACAGCACAAGTGCAGGAAACCAGTATGTTTCAGTTGAACGAATTGCAATGGGGAGGAAGATGTGGCAGACGTTTAATGATGGCACTGTAGTTGTATCTAGACTTCACTGAATAGGTAGCAAAGCCCCGAACTCCCCTGAGATTTGGCTGTGGTTTAAATGCTTAGGGCAAAACCCAGGAATGCATCTCTTAGGGCTAAAGTCTGAGGGGACAGGTCAGAAACCCCTTATTACAGCAGTGCCGAACCTGGAAGCATCTGAATCCTGGACTTACCATACGTCTGAACGGTTAGGACTGAACACAGTAAAGCAGTAAAGGATGCTCCTGTGAGCAAAAACCACCTGGATCCTGTCTGAGACCTGTGGTGCTTCAGAGATGAAATAAAGTCCCTGAACTCTGCCTGAATCCTTGCATTTTTATGCCTGTTTGAACGATGCTAAGCACGCAACAACAGCACTACAGTCAAACCAAAGCACAGAGTAGAAGTCCCTTTGCACCCAAAACCACAGCTGTGAACTCTCGTGGCCTATCATAGTGCTGAGCAGGGCTGGGGTAGGACAAACCTCAGTTCTGGTCTCTGCTTCCTATATTCAGGATGCAGTTCACATTTGTCCATCACTGGCTAAAAACAAGGAAAGGAAATCACAGCTCTGGACTTCTCTCTGCCAGCCCTTCTCCCACCACCTTGCCACAGAACAGCCTCTACTACACATTTATAGTTCTGCATCCTCTGGAGTGCTTGCACCCAG